TATTGTATTTGTTTTAATACAGCCTGCAGTTGTCTTGGTTTAGAAAAATAACCAAGTAGAAGTGCCTATTGGAACAATTGATCTTTGGGCCATGCTGTAGGCAGGGCACCTTCATAGCCTTAGGGTTGAATAGATGGGACTTAAACATTTTGAAGCATGCATACCTGGAGAAGTAGCCACAGTGGCTCAGCCATCTCTGGTGCAGCCTAGAAACTTTTTTGCATGACAGAAGTTCTAGAATGTGCAATATTCTGGAAAATTAAGCAAAAATATCTAGCTAATAGCTAAATCTGTAGGTAATTTTTCATTAAATCATTTCCTCACTAGCATTATGGGTCATGGTGAGTTGGAGCTCGCCTTCTAATGTCAACACCTTCTGAGAGTTGCAGACACCTTTTTTTCACCTCCACATTCCACAAGGACTACCTGGACTGCATGTGATTAGACTGTGGGAGATCTGACACAAGAACAGCTCTTTCTGTTCTAAGGCAAAAGTGCAAACCACTGCTAGTGCACTAAACAGTGGTCAAAGAACAGCTGTCTTGAATAGTAACTGGTACCAAGGTTGGGAGAAATCTTCAACTGAAGGCTAAATGCTGGCTCTCCCTCCAGTCGCCTGATCTGTTCCTCCTCATGCAAAGCATTACAGCCCGATAGAGCAGACTGCATGGGGAGAACATTGTGTGCGCTCGCTGTGCTGAGAGTTTGAACCAGCACGCGGCGGAGGGAGGGGGGGACATGTTCAGTTTGTTACAGGCCAGCTGAGGTGCGAAAAGGCAGGGGGCAAAAATAAAATGACAACCAAAAATTTGTTTGTCTGCTGGGTTAAGTTGTTAACTTGTGCTGCTGACATCTTGAGGGTTATTTCGAGCAACAATTGTAAAAAATAAAACATTTTATTCCTGAACTGGTGTCACAGCAACTGCAAGCCTGAATCAACCTCTAGCTATGAAGATATATATGTTCAGGCTTCATGCAATTTATTTATTTACTACAATTGAGCTGTTTTATCTAAAAGCAATATGAAGACACCTATTTCACTCCATGTATTTAAAGTGAGACTGAACTCAGTGAACAGCTAGACCTGAGACCAAATGTGGCAGTTATAAGTTATAATAAAAATTACAACTACTCATGTTACTGTGATTAAGTCATTTTTTTCAATTCAAGCCTGTAACTTTACTCTCAAGTATGCATTACACTATGTAATGTACCTTTTTACTTTTAAAATCATAATTTACTACTGAGTAGCTTAGGCGTCTTTTTCCACATGGTGCAAGCAAATCTTGCAAGAAAACATACCAATGAAAACAAAAATAGAGTAATTTAGGGACTGAAGACAGAGACACGGCAAGTCGATGATTAGAATCATCGGTCGAGAAGACCCCGAGTTCAATGCCTGCATTTTTGTGTTTTGGCTTAGTCATTGTACACACTGAAAAAAAGGAATGAATTATCAAATCTGTCTGTTGGGTACAGTCCTAGGAGAAAGTCAAACTGATTACATTTTCAGTACTTATCTGTGTATTTGTTTAGTTTGAGTACCTTTTATTATCAGAGAAATGTTTGTTGGAAGTATTTTCTACATGGATCTACCTTTTCCACTGAATGTCTGCTGCTGATAATGCATTCAATACAATGGTTACTAATACAGTAGGGTTTGACAAGAATACTTAACACCAGTACTTGTAGCTGAGTAATATTTTATTAACAGCACTTCTACTTGAGTACAGACTTTCAGTACTCTTTCCATCGCTGGCTGTAAATCAATAACTGCATATGCCAAAGCAGGACTACCTCTTTTCTCACTATTTCTATAGTGTAAGTGTCCTAACTCGAGATAAACTTACTCTTAGGACTGTGCTCTTGCTGGGGTGTTTCAGGGAGTTAATAAGAGGCACACAGTGAGGCCCTTTGCTCATTAAAGAAGCAGAGCTGAAGTCCTTAAAGTTGGGATCAGAGTGTAACTACCACTTGATGTTGAGCCGGGGTCCTTGGCTCCTTTTCTGCCACTTCTAGTCCTTGGAATCGTACGCAATGCATTACAAAGCACTCTAAGATATTATTCTTTTCTTGCAGTGTGGCTTAACTGCAGTCAGTCCACTCCCTGTGTGCAGTCACCATGGAAGCAGATGCCCTATATTCCTGAGGGTATCAGTTGACAAGGTCACTGGGCTGATTGATGTTAGCCTCCAGAGTCCTTCTCTGTGTACAGGTTCAACACCAATCTCCATTTCTGAGGTGCTAGAGAGGAGAGCGCCTGTGGGGACCAAAGGCGCCACTAACATCCCCCATGGACTTCCTGATCTGTCTTTGCCATAGAGGTGGCTGTACTGTACTGTATTCATTCATTTTCTCACTCCGGGGGGTGCAACATAAATCCCCCTTCCTACGAAATGATCCCGCAACAAAAAACTCTCACAAAGTTCAACAAGTGACAGCGATTTTATGTTAAAACTGATTTTATCATGTTGGCAACTGGCATGTGAGTAATCAGGGCAAAGCAGCATGACTGTCCCTCTACCCAAATAAACAGCCCAACAGCCTACATAAATGTCAGTCTACTTCACTACATGGCAGCTATCAATATGCATTAAACAAGCTGTACACAAGTACAACACAGAAGGCAGGATGGAAGTCTTTAGTTGCACTGAAAAAAAGCTTTTCTTACATTTCTTAAAATGTTTTCCCTGCCTGAGGACATCATCTGAAGGAGATTTTAATCCCAAAACATGAGAAAGCAGAGAATTAGATTTAACTGCTGGCTTTCTCATTTGTATTAGCAACACCTAAAATATATTGTCATAACCATTCCATCTTTTCCACATTATTTTTACAGTACATTATATATATAATTTTATCTGGGTGTCTATATAATTATTGATGCCAATGATTAAACAATTATTGGTTAATCTGCATTAATAATGTTTCCATCAAATATATTATCCCCTCCAGACATTTGTTAAGACAAATAGTCACACATTAAAATCCACAAAAAGTCATCTCCTCCTTCTACCTCATTAAAACTTCCAGAGTAGAGAAACTCTGAATATTCAAATGTTCATTTCTAAAATGTTTCTGTTGGACACAAGATGTCTCCTACTGCACTGTAAAGTCCATTCTCAGTGGATGTGCACTGATGGCTTCAAGTTTCTACATCACACTGTACAAGTTGATACTGGACCAGGATGGACTTCCTAACTATTGGTGATGTCACAGATCATGCTGGTAGGCCCCGCCCCTTAAAATCAGATGTTCAATGAGCACAGAGAAACTTTCCACTTTCAGCAGATGAATGGTGAATGGAATTCTTGGGGAGAAACGTAATACATGGAACAACATTATGTAATTAGGATACAATAAAATGCTAACTGTATTCCGTTAAGTCACAGAAAAAAATACACTTCTGTAAAAGTCGTCTTCGTTTTTTCTTTTCCCCTTGTCGTAATTTATATTATTTCATCAAGGTAATTAAAATTAATATAGTTGTTTTACTCTAATATTATGATACTTGGATTAAGTTTCTAAATTTTTAACCGATAATTTGTAATTGTATTGGAATGCATTTTTAAAGTAACCCTCCCAACTTTGCCTTGGACACTCACAAACACATGAAACACCACAAACAGTGAACAAACACCCCGATCATGAGATATGACTATTGTCCTAAATGAAATCAGCAAGACTGAAGTCTGCTGTGAAGAGATTGGTGTAACCTATTATATGTCTACTGGTAACAGCTATTTAATATTTTGAACTTGTCTCTCCTTTGTTGAATATTGACAAAAGGGAGTTGGAGCACCACAATTTTACATGAAAGCATTATTTTATATTTTTATCATAATCTGCCGTTATTGACTTGGAGCAGTAGCTTCAAAATGCTATTATGAAGGAAAAAACCTTCACTTTGTGTAATCTCTTTAATGATTAATCAATTTCTGGAAAATGACAGTCCTACTTCACATGGAGAGCTGTGGCAGGAGCCTGTTTGTGGTTTGACAGACGCTGTTGAACTCACATGTGTACTGATCACTCGGGCAGGTGCATGCCTCCTTTGGTGTGCCAACACAAAGCAGCACCACCGGTGTTTTGTTGGTGTATCAAAGCCCAGCTTCATGGGTTTTGCAGGTCTTGTGGCTGCTTTTGGTTTTGGTTTTGAGTGTCGGGGTTATTCAAGGTCGGGAGAAAGGACGGATAAAATCCATGGGAAAGTATAATAAAAGCTGTGCGTTCCTCATCTGTCCAAAAATATGCTCGTCTCTTGTTGGATAAAAACCATGGTCTGATGTTTCTTGGCATCAATTGAGAGTTAATGAGATATCATCACTAATTATACCGTGTGAAAAATAGTCACTGTTAATTATTATTTAATGAAAGTGTATTTAAAAAAAATTATTCTCAAAGAAATCAAGATTTCATGTCAAAATCTCAAATGCTGCGATCTGTGTCCAGTCAGCATTTGCCAGCAGTCTTTTCTTGTATTCTTTTCTGATAGTTGTACTTCATCTAAGTTTTAATTATATAATTATATATTTAATTTAATCCAGCTACATGATCTAAACCTCAAACGCAGGCTCCGGGCTTGTGGCACTAATTGTTTGTGGAAACTCACTGTGAAGGAAATGGATTTCATCATAAGAGATAACAAAAGTCTTAGCACTGACAGTTGAATTAGTAGGACTTTGCAATGAAACGGAGCCGGGACATTTTTCAACGTACTGTGCCCTAAATCAATATCTATCACCAATCTGAAATTAAATCGAGATTGAATCCCGGTTTCATCACCAGGTCTAATGCTTGCTAAATTCCATCTTATCACGCTGTCCTAAAACAGAGGAGGGGACGTTTATTTGATTTGACTGAAGACTTGCACTGGTCTAAGACAACTTGGGTTTACAATTCTCCAACACACAGCACTGTTCCAGCCCTGATCTTGTTTGACACCTGTGCTTATTTGTTGTAGCTGAACACAAGAACTGAAGGGGCAGGTGAGGTCTTACCTTGAACGATGAGATGCACTTTTGTGGATTTTGGTTTCTTGTTCGTGAGGATGGAGCAGACATAGGGCCCCTCGTCGTGGACGTCAACGTTTTGGATCTTAATGCTGTACTCTGTGACTGCTGTGTTTTCCATCAGGATGACGCGAGGGTCCAGGGACCACTTCTCACTTCCCGCAAATAGAATGGTGGTGCGGTTGAGCCACGCCACTCGTGATACTTTGCTGTCCACGTTGCATCTGGTAGGGAGAGAGGCAGAATATACAAAAACGCATTAGGGATTTAGACCTTTAGCACAATGCTTCGTCTCTGCTCCATAATACTTCCAACAAAAACACCACTCAAAGAACAAGAGTTCTAATTGGGGGCATATTGACATCCAGCTATGTCTGATGAGGTGCTATGAGTGGTAAAAGTGCTGTCTGGAATCGTAATTTGTGGTTGTTTGATTTTGATGAGAAGGCATGGTAACAGACACTGTATAAACTTTCATTATCTGGCATAAACATGAAATACAAGTTGTTAAGACGTAGGATCTTCAGGTGTGGCTCATTACAAAGAAAGAAAGTTCTGTTAATTTATTGATTTACTTGTGGAATTGACCATTTAATCCTGGTTTACGCTACAGACAGCTCTATACATTGTAAAATACCATAAAATATCATTAAAGGATCAGTGTGTAGGATTTACTGCCAATAAGTGGTGAAGTTGCAGATGCAATCATTTGAATACAGCTCAGCCTTCCAAGCTCATTTGTAGGAGAAATTATGGTGGCTGCAAAATTTCTTATAATCTGTACTACTGTAGAAACATGGTGGTTCAACATTGTGGACTCTGTAGAAGAGGACCCTCTCCCTGTAGATGAAAATGGCTCATTCTAAGGTAACAAAAACGCAATGATTGCTATATTCAGGTAATTATACACTAATGAAAACATACCTATGAATATTATATTCCATTTCTGACAATAGATCATCCTAAATGTTACACACTGGACCTTTAAATTACTGTCAGTTGCAAGTCAACTTAAATTGTCTGGTTCATAATCATAAATTAATATGAGTTGACCAAATGCCCATCAGAATGGCAGTTCATATTATCAAAAAATGCTGTTTAGAAGGTCAAACGTTAGCTTGCTGGGTTGAGATTCTCCAAAAAGCCAGTTTTTCTACAGTAATTTGTTATAGTCTTTTGATGATGAAGATAGGTATGTATTTCAAACAGTCTTTTAACATCAATCAAGCCACATGTGTCTGATCCTGGTCTGAATGTAGCGCTCGCTAACGCAATAGCTGATACAAGCAGTTTTTATACATAATAAGTGATTGAACTTGACATTGCTTAGAGTTAAAGCAACATGAGTAAACACTCAATGTGAATGTGTACATTTATTATTAATACATGAATAAACTACTCTAGCATACAGTAAATTAGCAGAAATGAAAAGTTGAAGTAATCAGCTCAAAGGCAGACTGCAATTACTGATTTTTGGAGTCATCTGTGTAAGTCCAATATTCACTCTTGTTTGGCTCTGTTTGTGGTGTCTAACTCCTGAGGGAAATATCAGGCTCTTTAGCTGCTAAATGCTCCACAACGTTCAGCAGCTAGTGTCTAACTGTGTCTGTCTGCTGGTTGCTGCTGAGCAGGGAGCGTACAGTGTGTTTTCTGAGATCTTTCTCAGAGAGCTTCTTCTCTGAAAGCAGCTGCCTGGTGTGGCTGAAAATGACGCGGTGGGAGCGGTCCCCAACAGTAAAGTTGCAGCCGGGCAGCTAAACTGAGCTGAAACTTACTATAAAACTCAGCTGATAATTCTCTGTAGGTTCATGTGAGTGACCCCTTTCAGCATTGGTTTCACATTGTCATTTGAACATAGTTATTATAAAACAAAATTTACAAACCTTATTTTTAATGTTAAATCATATTGAACTTTGTTCCTTGAAACTGAGTTTCAAAATCTTTTTTTACAGTATACATGTTATATAGTGAGTTTTAGAAGAAATTTCAAATATGAATTGAATAATCAAAATAAACATCTGAAGTCATGTAGCATTTCAAAATCAAATCAAATTTTGGTGGGGTAGAGATGCAACCTGCAAGTGCTCCTCGAGAAGCTGTTCCACCCCTGACATGACACGCCTCATTCTTTAGATCACATTAGTAAAGACATGAGAGAGGTCTCTTTGATGAGTAGCAAATGTATTCACCGTACAAGCACTAGACATAACTCAATATCAGGATGTGACACACAGTATCAGTAATCTAGCCAACACCGATAATGTGCACAGTGACAGTCATTCAACCTCTGTCTGATCCCAAAGAGATCAAAAGGGAAAACATTGTACACTGACGTGCTCCTATACCTCAAATTCAGAAACATAATCTGTTTCTGTAATGCAAACGTTTGAACAAACTCTTTACATAATCCCTATGGTATACTAACTAAATTAACCTAAAATGTATTAAAGCTGCAGTAGGTAACTTTTATGAAAATAAGATTTGCTGAAATGTTCACTGTCTTGAAAGTAGAACATGAGACAGATAATCTGTGAAAGAATCAGGTTCCTCTGGCTCATTCTAGTGTTCCTAATGGCGCTTGTGAGAATCCAATGTGCCTGGAGGAAAAGAACCAATCAGAGCCAAGAAAGATATAAAGACGCTTTGTGTTGGATGCTTAAAGTTAGTTGATTTGGTCCCAAAGCATTTGTATTTGACGCCCCAGGAATGAGACTCAAGAGTCAACTATCTTTCTTGGCTCTGATTGGTTGTTTTGGTTCAGGCCCTGTGGTTTCTTGCTAATGCCATTAGGAGCACTAGGAGGAGTCAGAGGAACCGGATTTTTTCACAGATGAACTGTCTCATGTACTACTGTCAGGATATAGTGAAAGTTTCAGCAAATATGAAAAAATAAATTACCTACTGCAGCTTTAACACTTCTAAGTTTGATAAGAGATTTGTTAGTACAGTATCGGAGCTGAACATATACATGCTATAACATAGACATTGGAATTTATTATGAAAAATCTCTATTCATTGAAAAAAGAAAGCTTTTTATATTACTAACATAGTACTGTGAATAAATTTAATATATACAGTATGTGATATAGTAACACAATATTGCATACAAAGGTATTTTACAACAATGATACTGTGCACCATAATTACCACATTAAACCTTCTGATCTGATTTATACAGCCAGGATAAACCAACAACATCTGCATTAGCTGTGTTAGTCAAAATACAAATAAATGTCTTTTTTTCTGCAGGAGGACAGGAATATAAATATAACATCAATAAAACTAGACTCAGAATACACTGGGGTATCTATACCACTTTAAAGCAGGATTTGGCAGAACATTATTGATCGTATCAGTAAAATAATGGAAAGACATTTCAGCTTTGTGTGCCAGTTCTTTTTATTTTATTTATTTAATTAATGGATGTTACAATTTTTGGCATGAGCTTGCACAGACTGTGAAAACAGTCTTTTAAATCCAAAATACCCTTAAGTAAGCTCACAGATGTATGCAGATGAATTCAGTGCAAAAAGCAGCAGCGTCTGGCTGATTGGTCTGCAAGTCTCGGAACAAGTTATCACACACAGTCCATGTACGTACAGTGCATTGCACGTTCACACACCCGGCAGTGTTTACTAACCCCAGAGTCACACGCGCAGCATTCACAGTAAATAGAGAAAGAAATTTGAGGTTCACAGATTAACACGTCTCGGTCAAAAGTAATGTGTTTAGACTGTGTGTGTGGCTGGAAGCGGGCAATTTGAAGGAAGAAGACACACTATCAGCAGCGTGACAGTAAAGAAAGTTAATGGGAGCAAACAGGACAATTTATGAATCCGACAAACAGCATTTTTGGTCAAATTTGTTCCACCTCTCTAGTACTGCCCCTGTCAATAAAGCAGGACCATAAGAGAAAGGTTTCAGTGTTAACAGACGCAACACATTTGATTCTTAAAAACGTAATTCTTCTCGAGACATACGTTTTTGTCTTTGACCCAAACATTCTGGGATTATCAGTTAATTTAGATAAAGAGATTGACATGAAAGAAAAGGTGATACATGGCAGGAAACCCAGCCAAGATGAGAACAAGTCTTTGAATGGCTTCATTATTTGCTGAACTCGCACTATCAAACAGTTCCACTTTGACTGCCTCACAATAATATGGTACCAAGCATTTATTTTGAAAAGGAACAATATGTTTCCTTCATATTTGCCTTTGGAGAGATAGACTCTCCACAGAACAAGGCTCCAAAAGTTACTTTTAACTTAAAGAGGATTATGTGTATCTGCAAAGCCCGGAAGGAAATTAAAACTTTTGGTCAGAGCCCCCAAAAGTAAACTGGTAAAAACATGTCTTCTTGAGGAGCTCTAATGGTCTTAAACAGGGAATTAAAGGTCTAAAGGTCAGTAATGGCCATTAAACTGTAGCCTTTTTACTTAAGCCTGGGAAAGATGCACATTAAACTATATTATACTATTATAATAAATACAGCCTTATTTAGAAAAGCTGTGAAGAAGGCTGTTAATAGTATGTCTATTCTCTCTCCTTACTTCTGTTGTTGTTTTCTCTTCATTTCACACCTAACTGAAATTTAAATGAAAGTTAGATGTACATATGAATGAGTTTACGGGATCAAAGTCTTGGATTTGGGTATAAATGTGTGTCAAATTGCTCATCAGTTGACCCTACCAATAGAGACAACCTGAAACAATCTCGTCATGTTAAACTCCACATAGGATTAGTGGGACATTTTAGCGAAAACTGAGAAATCTATATTCTGGTAGCTCTAAGACTGTACATCACAGAATTAGCTCTACGTATCACTAGCATCAGTCGGTTGATTTAACATTCAAAGGTGCTGCACACAACTTTCAGACTAGATCTCTCACTAGAGCACCAGCATCTCAGACCAAAACAAATGTGAGTGCTGCAGCCCACCAGACTCTATTGACAAAAACACAAATTTGACCTCACAGTCAATACAACACACTTCATTCAACATAAAAGTCACCAAACCTGTCTTTGTCTTTCTACTGTTCCAACAACAATCATCAACTTTGGTTCAGTCGAAATAAACCCGTAATTTACAGTTAGATGAGAAAATAAACACCAAACAGGCTTTAATAGCTGCCGTGTAATTCTTGGGGACAAGTTTGTGATTACAAGTGCTTATCTTCGCCACTGACCAACTCAGGTTGTTATTCCAAGTGTCTGACAACAGT